TAGTGAGAAAAGACAGATTCTGTTACACAACACTTCTCTGTGTTCTTCTACATCTAATTCGAAATAATGACTCAAAAAATCCAAAAATAATACTTACGTTACTAAATTACTAATGACATTAGCATATGACTTGAGAAAAAAAAATCTAACAACGTCAGTTTTAAAAGGATGACCAACTTTTTTTGTGGCTCACATAGGCACTGTCTGATTACCTATGTTAATTCCTAAAACATGGTCTCCCTGAGCCAAAATATCTAACTACATAAAACTGTCCCAGCACCAGTTTTAGAATTTGCACGGTTTTACCCTCCTGTAATTTCATCTGTGATTGGATGTTCTGCTACGAGGCTGCTGGGGAATGGACAAGAGCATGAGACATTTAAGTGTAAGAGTCAGCCATCAGAAAAAAGAACTGACCAAACAACAAAAAAAAAAACCCTAAAATGGTATAGATCTCATAGAGCCTTGAGGGAGGTTATGAGAGAGAGGGATAACTCTAGGATTTCACTGAAAACATTAGCTAAGGGAGATGCCATGTTAGGAGTTGGTGATGTTCCACTTATTTGTCTTTAATTAGCTGCCTAGACTTTAGAATGTCTTTTTGAGAAAAGACATTAAAACTGGTAACCAGGTTTCCAGGAGAGGCTAAACAAACAAAACATATTTTAGACAATAACAAAGATTAAAGACTATACATTGACTATAACAAATAATAATACTAATGTAAATATATTGTAAGACACATGCTCTTCTGGGACCTAGCACTCCCTGGGACAGATATTTTACCCCAGAGTATTTGAGCTGAGTTTAATGTCCCTTCCCACAAGCCCCCAGTTTCAGCAAGCCAGGACGACTCACTGATTCTTAAAAACATTCCCAGTTTCCATGAATTTTTAGTATTTGATGCCCTTCTCCTTAGCCTACCTATCCAAATACTCTCTGACAACATAACCATCAACTCCACATGGTGATAGCTAAAATATTCTAAAAATAAAGCTTGTAGATTCTTCTAACTCAAGACTGTGGAGCAGGTAAAAGTTAAGATAGGAATAGTAAAGAAGGACTTTTCTGACTTCCCTACGCACCAGCTAGGCCTGATTCTGACAGATCACAGATCATGCCTTTAGACCATGATACAAAGCAAGGTGGAAGAGCCATAACTCCAGAAGCTGCATGGGGGCAGTGACCAAATATCCTCATTCTCTCTCCAGAGCCCAGAACTATTCCCACACATGGTAAGTGATGATGAAAGAATATATGATTATATAAGTCTTGCTTCCAAATTTCATCATCATCCTACAGCAGTCTTCCTTCCTCCTGTACTACTCTCCCCTTCTCTCTTCTGCCTCTTCAAAGTGAATTAAGAAGGCCAGCTAGGATGGCCTTCCATGCTCTAAGTTCAATTCCCAAGTAGACACAAATTTTGCATCAAAATATGGGCTACTATATCTGTAAACAGAGAGCAATGCCAACTCCCCCCGAGCATGTGTGTGTATATACTTCATGAACAATGGGCTGTTTAAAAACATGTGGTTAAGGGAAGCCTGGGTGCCTCAGTCAGTTAAGTGTCTGCCTTCAGCTAAGGTTATGATCTCAGGGCCCTGGGATCGAGCCCCACATTGGGCTCCCTGTTTAGTGGGGAACCTGCTTCTCCTTCTTCCTGCTGCTCCCCCTGCCTGTGCTCTCGCTCTCTTGCTCTCTTTCTCTCTCTCTCTCTCTCTGTCAAATAAATAAATAAAATATTTAAAAAACAAAAACGTGGTCAAAAAGAAATAAGTGGCTCAGGAGCCATCTGGCATTCCTGTAGGCATGCTGGCTATTAGCTTTGTAGGATGCTTCTATGCTAAATTCATTTACACAAAAGGCTACTTAAAAGCATTTATTAAAATAAAGAAATACAACAGACAATATAGATAATTTGAGCATTTATAAATTGGAGAATATTAAGATTCACGTTTTAAAAATCTACATACAACTTTGATTACATATATACTTTGAGCCTGATCCCAGTCCTAATAATTTTAATGTACTCATAAAGTAAAAGAATAGGAAAAAAAATACATTGACATCAGAGTTCTTATTCCCGTGCTCCCAACTAGTATAAAGTTCTACATCAGTCTAAACTTTCCTATAATATAAATCGAGATTACCTTACTTGTTCAAAATATCTAAAAATATAATATAGGGAAGTAGAAAATTATTTTTGTTTTCCTAAAAGTACTTTTTCAAAGTTTCAGTACCAATGTATAAAGTATTAACAATTACAGTAAAAGTAACATTTTCTGTGTTTATACTCTATGGGCTATATTCTATATTTGCTAGAGATGTGCCTTTGAAAAGCTCTTTTTATACACTACTTTGAATACTGCTTTATGTTTTATTAGATAGCACCATTTGATATAATAGCACAAAATGGTATTTTTCTAGAAACTGTCTACCTGAGGGCAAAAACCTCTTGAATCATCAAATATACTCTAGAATTCTGTAACTAGTCTTATTACGACAGTCCAAAGTAGATATACTCATTTACACTTAGGTAGAAACTTCAGTAGGGAGAAATAGTTAATGAACCAGTAAAACAAAGGCAGAAGCATGGAACTACAACCTGGGGATGAGCCAGTCAAGGGAGGGCACAGAGCCTAGTTCATATCTTGCTCTCTTTGAATAATTTGTATCCTTTCGCCATACTCACCAGGATTTCTCAAGACCATCTTTCTCTCCACCCATTCTTTCCCCCTCTTTCCAAACATCTGACTCATCAACTTTTTACTCAGCCTCATCTAATAAGCTAGTCTCCTACTTTGAAACTCATTCACTCAGATTTTTGTGAAATTATAGCAAGAGGAGATCCTTGGAGGAATCAGAGCAGTGTAAGTCAAAGAAAGGGAACAAAGAGAGCATGGGATAGAGATGAAAAGAAATGAGACACCATAGGGTTCAGGTCTATTCTGGCTGAATCCTAAAATACTCCTCTTCATAGCAGCAAGGCAGAACAAACTATATCCCACTAAGCCTCTAAGTTGGTTTAAGAAATACCATCTACCTACACTAGGTAGCTCATTACAGAAAGCAAGGAAGCAGTATCAAGTTTCGTAAGTGGATAGCCACAGCAGGGGTGAATAGCTTGCCTCTGACTTGCTAGTGAGAGGTCACCTGTGCTCCAGTGGTTACTCTCTTTTCTCAGGCTTAGCCTATAATAAATATTATTTTATATGCCCTTCACAGGGTAGCAGCAAGCTTTCACATGAAGCAACTGCACAAAATTTTCTATTTCATTCATGGTATTTTTTACACCAGCATCATTAGGAAGGAATTAACCAACACAAAAAGGTGTATTCTACGTTTGTGCTCCGTTTCTTTCTGACACTCAGAGGTAGGAAAGCTTTGCGATAGGAAGGGAATGATAGACAGGAATGAGAACTTTTGGGTGTGGCTCTGGCTCTATGGAGATTGGAGGACCTTGACAATGTCTGAACTCTGAAGTATGCAAAGTGCAATTATCTGCCAAAGCTGATGTTCAGCCCTGCACAATTGTGTAATGGGAAACCCTGATGCAATGTCTAAATAACCAAAATCGCAGAGATGAAGGGAAGGGTACATTCTTTCCAGTTTTTGTAGGTATAGCATGACTTCAGTGTGCAGAGAAGAAAGATTTAAGGAAAGACTCCATTTAAAACTGTCTTTTAACCATTTTCAACGGCGATGGCCAATTAAATAGCTTATTTCTCAGTGCCAAACTTGAGATTCCTATTAAAGACGCATCAACATCAAAGAATCATTTTATCTCACACGGAAATAATTCCAACACACATTTTGCCCCACAAAATGTATCTCACATATTGCAATCATGTTGTAACCATTGTCCCATTTACACTAACAACAAATACAAAACTACATGAATATATCTTCATTTCTAGGGAAAGGAGGCAGAGTCACAACACGAAACGTTAATCTCTTCCACTAACTGGGATGCAGCACAATACTGCAAAAGGACTAGATAATTTTAAATCATAAGATCATTTCTAAAATCCTTTTAGGCTAATAATTTATTTCAAAAAAAACTTTCAAATCCTTTAAAAAACCAAGAGCAACTGAAGCAAATTAAGAAAATAAATGGACAAATGGAAAAATAACATAATAGCACAACTATTTCCACTAGAGGAGCTGCATAAATCAACCAATTGATGATCCCTGTCAAATAAACCCCAACGGCTCAAGGGAAAAGTTTGCTAATTTAAGAAAACTGTGTATGTGTAGGCTGTTGGGACAACCTCTAGGTGCTGCTGTAGAGACCAGACCCCCTTCCTAAAGACTTATTTCTTTCCCGGGTATTTTAGCCTCCCCCTCCCCCTGACTGCACTGCACTGCGCATAGCCAGTACAGACAATCCCCTCAAGCATATTTGCTGTTGAAAAAAGCCTCAGAAACTGACATTCTTCAAGGTTCAAGAAGCCAAACAATGGCTTTTTTACTTTTTATTCCAAATTACAGTATAGATGGATGAGCCACACAAAAATCCTAGCAGGATAGCAGGTTATGTCAAAGCAACCAGGAGGCCCAAGAAGCAAAAAAACAGCTACCACTAGAGCCCTCCTCCTTCCCCCAACCATCTCTCCAAATGGACTATTACTAAATGTTCAAATCAATCCTGTGCATCAGTTAAAACTGTCAGATGAAACCGGGAGGTGTGGGCGTACAGCAGGGCGGAGTGGCTCTTGCGCCGAGCTCTCAGCGGCACCGGCTCCATCTGATACGTCAGCTCCAGCATCCGAGGAGCTGATGAGAGATGGAAGCTCGGAGGAAAACGTGCGAGCGTCGGTGGGGGGAGGAGGAGGGGGAGGCCCTAACGTTCGGATCCGATTAACCAGTGCCCGACCGCGGTCCCCGCGCCCCGGCGTCTGCCCTGATCCGCAGCATCCCAACAGCCGCAGGGAGCGCGGGACTACGGGGCCGGGCAAGGACGGGGACGGGGACGGGGACGGGGACACCAGCTGCTTTACCTGTGATGGACCAGGTCCAGCGGTAGAACTCCACGGTGTCGTTCAGCGCCGTGGACACCACGTTGAGGACACTGCCCGGCTCCGAGTCCAGGAGCCCCATCTCGGCGGGAAGCGGGCGCCGGCGGCAGAGCGCGGGGAGGAGAAAAGGCAGACACCCCGGGAGGGTGGACCTCGGAGGCGACGGCCGGCGGAGCGAGCGGCAGCCGGGCTCCCCTCTCACGGCGGCGGCCCAGCTGGCGTCTCCTCCTCCCCCTCCTCCTCCTCCTCCGGGCGCCGCGGCGACAGGGATGCGGCGGCCGCGTCGACCAGCCGGGCGGGGGAGAAGGTGCCGTCCAGGCTCCTACGAGACCGAGGAGGAGGAGGAGATGTCGCCGTGAGCGCCCAGCGCTGCACCAGTCTGCCGCCGCGCGCCGCCGCCGCTCCAATCTCCTCGGCCCGAGTCACGTGGGCGCGCGCGAGGCGGCGGGGCCGGCGCCCCTCCCCCCGCCCGCGCTAGGACTCTTGCGCAGGGATGCGGCTGCCGTGGGACCGCGAGAGCCGGGTCCGCGCAGGCGCGCGCCGTCCCGCACCTCCCGTCGCCCTCCCTTCCCTCGGGTCGCGCGGGAGCGAGGCACCTGGCCCCTCTCGGGTCTCTAACCCCCGCCCCCCCCCCCCCGCAGGTCTCCGCAAGTCTCCTCGGTCTCGATCCTTAGCGGGAGGGTACGACGGCGCTGCGGAGGAGTATGCCGCCTGCCCACGGGTGACCTGGCATCCGCCCTCTTACATCTTAGGAAAACAGGACGGGGAAGAATGGGCGTTTTGTGGGCAAGGAGGAGGTAGGCGAGGCGCTTTGGTCCCTACCTGTCATTCCCTTCTATTTCCTTGGGGTTCTGGTTTTTTGTTTTTTTTTTCACCTCCACCAGCACATGCCTGTCATGACAAGAGCAATGCTCAAGTTATCCCTCTAAGTTAGTCAAGTGATACTGTCTTCCAAGCTGCAGTGGTGGAGAATGGACTTTGGGGTCTACTCGTTAGCCAGGTTGCAAATAATTCGAATGAATGCTTGCATGTGCTTTGTAAACTCTTTGACTATACGTGGAACCATCAAAGCAATAGAATTGTATTAAATTAAAGTCCTTACAGCTTCAGAGAAGAGGGAGGATGAAGAGGGGACTTACAATTGGAGAAGTCCTCTTGGACCTGGAGGAGTTCAGGTGAATGTAAAAGGATAATTGCCCAGGAGGCAAAGGGCAATCTAGGTGAAATAGGAAAACATATTTTTTTTTTTATTTAAAAAAAAAAGTGTTTAGGAGCAGCCCTGGTGGCTCAGAGGTTTAGCGCCGCCCTCGGCCCTGGGTGTGATCCTGGGAACCTGGGATCGAGTCCCACGTCGGGCTCCCTGCATGGAGCCTGCTTCTCCCTCTGCCTGTTCTCTGCCTCTCTCCCTGTGTGTGTGTGTGTGTGTGTGTGTGTGTCTCATGAATGGATGAATAAATAAAATATTTTTTAAAAATAGAAATTTTAAAAAATGTTTAGATGATAAGGTGGGAGGCAACAGGCTGGCTAATCTACCCCCTGAAAAGTGAACCCCTGGAGTGCTGCAAATACACACTACATACTGTTCTTGATACTTTCTGACATCAAACAGGACCTTTGAGAGTGATCCAATATACTTCTTACCTACTTGTTATTTAAACACATCACCTACTTTTTGTTTAACCTTTCCTCTGATTGTTGGTTTAGGATGCTCCATTGAAGGCCACTGAATCAAGTAGGTGTGTGATTGCTTCTTCCCTTTGACACCGTTAAAATGTGAATACTTTTTTTTATCATATTTATTTATTTGTTTTCCAGTTGACTTGGTTATATACTCTGATTTTATTTTATATTGGAAACATCTAGAGAGTAAGAATTATTTTTGGTTCTTTGTTGAGGACCTAACCCAATGCTATTTATTTTATTATATATTATTTTACTTATAATAATTAATATGTATGACAATGTCAAAATTATAGCATATTTATTTCAGAACTTAAAAACTATTGTAAGTGACAGAAGCGTTAGGTAGAGAAAAGGCAATTAAATGTAACTGATTTTATAAAGCAACCTGTCTTCTTTAATGCTCTATTCCTGAAATTAACCTTAAAAATGTAATTTATCAAATATATTTACCAGATTAAAGTTTTTGGATTGAAATTATGGTTTCTCAAATCTCGACCCCAAGTTATGTGTATCATACTTATTTCAGAAGACATAAATAGGTATAGATATATAGATATCTATATTTAAAATACATTTTATAAAAATCCAGTCAAGTTGTAATACCTGGAGAGTAAAGATCAGTGATCTACTCCTGTACCTTGTGGACCTAGCAAAGGTCAGATTAGCTTGATCTTCATCTAGAAAACTGATTACTACTTTTATGTTATGAAATCCTGGATGCTTTTTATGGAGAACAGATCCCCACTCTCATCTGTATTCACATGCACAAAAATTGACATCTTTTTTCCCAAGTTTTTATTTAAATTCTAGTTAACATATATGGTAAAATTGGTTTCAGGTGTAGAATTTAGTGGTTCATCACTTATGTATAACACTCACTGCTCATCACAAGTGTGCTCCTTAATACCCATTACTCATTTAGCCCATCCTCCGCCCACCTCCCCTCGGTTTATTCTCTATAGTTAAGAGTCTATTATGGTTTGTTTTCCTCTCTCTTTTACTTGTATAATGCAGTGTGAACTTGTTAAACTAGCTTCAGATATTTTTCTAGCCTTTTGTAATAGAGGCCAACTTAAGTCCCTTTATCCCTTTATTCACTAGGGGGCGCCTGTCACATATAAGAAAATCCTAGTCAAGTAATGACAAATCTAAGTCAGGGATGGCACTGAACCTTTTGTCCACACTACCTGGAAGAGTAGTATGTTTATTTGCATTTTTGAACTGTCTAAATATATACCAAGAAGAACCCTAGAACTTATCCACCCAGGAGCTGTATTACTCAGCATAGAGTCTAACAGTCTAGTACAAAATCAATTCACAGGTGGTTTACAAATACTAATGGCTGACCAAACCAAAGACTACCTAATCTGTACAAAGGGAAGGAGATGTGCATATTTACTCACCTTGAGTGGCAGCCATCTAACCAAGATATTGATGGCATCATGACCAAACAAAATCAAATATAAACATCCAGGACGCCTGGGTGGCTCAGCAGTTGGGCGCCTGCCTTCAGCTCAGGGTCATGATCCTGGGATGCAGGATCGACTCCCACATCGGGAGCCTGCTTCTCCCTCTGCCTGTGTCTCTGCCTCTCTCTCTCTCAGTGTGTGTCTCTCATGAATAAATAAATAAATCTTTAAAATAAATATATATAAATATCCATAGTATCTGCAAAATTTTGAGGATTAGAGTTTTTTGTTGTGGATTAAATACAACTAAGATATAGTTATCTATACAAACTGAGAGAGGATATGATTGTAACAAAAATTGATTTTATATAAAATAGCAGAATATTTTAACATTTCTCAGTTCATACAGAGTTAACAATGTAAATCAAGCTATCCATTTTTTTCCCTTGTGTTTCTGCCTTTCCATATTGTCAATAGTGTCAGAAACCTATGCTTTCAAAAAAAGTGAACCTGAAAATCTGTTGAATCATAAGTGAGAGCAAATAGTTTGATGAATTGTAGAAAGACCTTATATCTTACAGAAGTAAATTTTAGGTAATATAGAAAATGGAGAAAATCATTAGTAAAACTGTTGACCTTAAACAACACTTATAGTTCAAACTTCCATAAGTACTGAAATTCGTACTGAAAATGCAGCTTTTATGTGGGTTCAAACTTCCATAAGTTTGAACTATATGGGTCCAACCTACACATGCATTTTTTCCCATAAATATATTGAAAATTGTTTTGGAGATTTGCAACAATCTCAAAAAATTCTCAGATGAACCACATAGTCTAGAAATATCTAAAAGAATAAAAGATATGTCATGAATGCATAAAATATATTCTATATAATCTATTTTATCATAAAATATATGCAAATCTATTATAAAAAGTTAAAACTTATCAAAACTCACCCACACATTTATAGACCATACATGGCACTATTCACAGTTGTAAACAAATGTGAAGATATAATATTAAGTCATAATTGCATGAAATTAACTAGTACATACTGTACTACTGGAATAATTTCATAGCTCCTTCCTGCTGCTACTGTGGTGAGCTCAGGTGTTGCCAGTAACCACTTAAAATACTGTGTGATACTAATCATCTCTGTGTGAAGAGTTTGCCTCTCCAGCAAATAGCAAATGACAGTTAAAAGTGATCTCTGGTGGCTCTCACTTTCCTTTTATCACGGTTAATGCAATACTGTAAACCTTGAATAACACCGTGGGACCTATAAAAATGTGTCACTTTTTTAGAAAAGTGATGCTGGAAGTGCTCCCAAGAAGCAGAGAAAAGTCATGACATTAGGAAAAAAGTTGAATTGCTTGATATGTGTCATAGATTGAGGTATGTAGCTATAATTGCCTGCCATTTCATGATGAATGAATCCAGTTAAGGACAATTGTTTTATAAAAAAGAAAAGTCATGAAGCTGTTACTACCGCTCTGCCAGCAGGTGCAGAAACCTTACACTTTTTGCAAAATCCCTTTTATCTCGTACTGAAAATGCAGCTTTTATGTGGGCTCAGGATTGCTATAAGAAGGGCATAGCTATAGACTCTAATATGATTTGGGGAAAAAAAGCCGTTATTATATGACAACTTAAAAGGAAGCTGAAGTGTATGATGTTGGAGAACTTATTTTTTTAAAAGATTTTATTTATTTATTCATGGGAGACACAGAGAGAGAGAAAGAGAGAGGCAGAGACACAGTCAGAGGGAGAAACAGGCTCCATGCAGGGAGCCCGATGTGGAACTCGATCCCAGGTCTCCAGGATCAGGCCCTGGGCTGAAGGCAGCGCTAAACCTCTGAGCCACCTGGACTGCCCTGATGTTGGAGAATTTAATGCCAGCAAAGGATGGTTTGATAATTTTAAAAAGAATTTTGGCTTTAAAAATGTTAAGATAACAGGAGAAGTAGCTTCTGCAAAGCAAGAAGCAGCAGATGAGTTCCCAGACAACATTAAGAAATC